GATATTTAATCGTTTATTTACATATGCATGCCTCTGGACGCGTAAGAGGAAAAATAATAGCATTCGAGAGGTTAATCCTGTTTTTTTGTGCCACTATGGATGTCCATACTTCACTGCCGTATACAAGCACCCACAGGGCACAGACTCTGGAAGTTCTGATTTTGTCATCCACTGAGACCGTTTTTCTGTGCCAGACAGCGTTTCTAAGCATGTTAAATGCTATTATTGCTTTGACCAATTTGGATTCCAACTCCTTTTCTGGTCGCTGATCTTTTCACGTTAAACAACCTAAGTAGGAAAAGGAATTATTGTTTCGATTGTTTGACTTCTGACAGTGATGTCAGTATCAGGTAGTGGAAATTCCTGGTTCTTCAGAATTTTGCCATTGATATTGTTGAAATGACATAATACAGGTCTTCTTCACGCTCATTTTGAGACCGTACTATTGAGTCACCTTTTCGAACACGTGGATGAACTCTTCAAGGTCGTCTAGGCTGTTCCACATGGCAATTAGGTCATCGACATACATCAAGCAAAGAATTTCAAAGTGCTCGTATTTTTCACGATGTTTGTGATAGAAATCATTGCTTCCATAGGTAAGCTTTATGCCACTGACTTGTGCTTCTTTCAACACTTTCCTTATGATGAAGTCCAACAGATTGTTGAATGTATGAATTAGACAGCACTAGAAAAAAGAATTTGTTTAGATGCGCAAAATATTTTCATCCAATTCTCAAAATTCCGTTATAGATACACTAAGGGTCCAAAATAGCATGGGCGTTTTTGTCTTGTTCAATATTGTTACAGTATGATTCATTTCTTTCTTTCTCGTTCTTTGATATCACATGTATATCGTATGTTCTGTATGATATCAAAGAACGAGAAAGAAAGAAATGAATCATACTGTAACAATATTGAACACAACAAAAACGAACATGCTTTTTTGGGCCCTCAGTGTAGCATATCGAATTATATATTCTGAAAAATTTTCCGGATAGACTCTAAAAAAACGTTGTTTCCAACACATCGGAAAAAAGAACATCATAAAATCAAAAATGAAATGTCAAAATTCGGAATATTCGAAAATGTTGAGGACGATTTATTTAAAAACTATTTGAAAAAAATTAAGAATATTAAGAACCGAAGAAATCGTCTACTGTCTTTTTATAACGGGTCTCACACAGCCATTATCTGTCTAATATGGTTTTTAACAGAAAATGGTTATATCGGTCGATTTAGTCGCTCTCCGCACTTTGTTCGCCCGATCGACCTCTAACCCATAATAAAAATATGAAAAATATTGCTGTGCCAAGCGTGAAAAATAATGCTATAATTTCTAGACCAACAGAATAACCCACTGTAATACTATAATTTGAATTTCTTAAACGTCCAAGTTCTTTGCTATTTATTGGCATACCTAAAACAGAATCATCAACTATACAGAGTTATAACTATGCATCGATGAAACTTTATCCTCAACGCAGCAAAAACGCATCTATTTGGCAAAAAATCTGCTCGATTTGACAAAATTCTGTGAGAGTGGTGAGAATACTCTTACATAATTCTGTTATATTTCACAAAATTCTGCATTAATTGGCAAAATTCTACGAGGTGTGTTGATGAATTATACTAATTGATTAGAGATGAGTCTGTGCTACGTTGAGGATAAAGTTTCACCATTGCACAGTCCTCATACAGAGTATAAGTCAATCGTACACTGCTTACCACTCATTGCGTTTAATGTTCGTTTATATTTAAGTTCATCAATATCCTGTGTTTTGTAGACGCCAACTAATATCAATGCAATTAAAATAGCTAAAAACGAAATAATTAAAAATGTTTCACCTATTACAAATAGAATAATATTTTTTTCTGCTGATAATAACATAAAATGTGTAATTAATATAGTTAATCCAAGTAAAATTGCTGCAACAATGGTCAATGCTAAAATTATTTTTGTTCCTAATGCATAATCACAATGACATTGTTTTGAATACGTATGTGATGAACATTCCGTATACTGCTGATCTAATGTTTCATTTAAACATAATTCAGCATCTCCTTTCTTTTTTGGATATAAAAATTTGTTTGAAAGACATAATTCACCACTTAAACTTTGTTGATCAAGTGAAAACGATGATAAATAACATCTTTGAGTGAGTGATGTATAAATAGTATGAACAGAAACATTGCCAGAGCACGATTTACAACGAATTATTTTCCAACGATTATAGCCCATTGCTAATATATGAAACATGAATGTTATTAATACTAATATGAAGGCAATATTGATAAGTCTACCTAATTTCATCATTATGGGATGATTGTTGAACTACAGTGTATGTTTCTAGTATTGATAAGTGAAGAGAAAAATTCAAATATACGCAGTCATGAACACAAAAGGTAACATTATATGATTATGCTTTCTTTTCTCTTATTTCTTTTCTCCTAAGAAAAAAATGATTATTTTCTTATTTTAACATGTAAAACCGTATGACTGCGTTGTGAATGACTCAGTTGCTGATAAGAGATAGGCAAATAACACATCAAAGATTGAGGTATCTCTTTGAAAAGAAACGTGCGAAATGGTGATCGAAAACGTGATACAATATGAAAGGTGCGATAAAAAATACCGTTTGTATTCGTTAAAAAACCTTTTCATCCAAAATGAGTGGAGTCTTAGGAAAATGTCTTATTGTAACATTAGTCGATAATCAGTTCGATCCGAAAATCTGAATCAGTTATGCAGTTTAGTCAGGGCTAAATCTGATTCAAAAACAGGTTCGAAAAGTGACTCTACACAATAAAAGTTTTTTTCTTCTCTTTTTGCTTCTTACTGATTTAGAACTGTATATCCTTATCAGTGCTGATTCACGTAGCGTAACCAGATAATGATGATGACTAAAGGAATGTGCACGACTGCTTAACGAGTGATCCAGATTAAATTTCTGGTCTTTGCAAAGCTTTTTTCTCAGGTTAAGCTTAATCAAAAAATTTTGTTTGGATTTTAAACGACAGAGAATTTTGCCGAGATTTTAGTCATATATTCTTTTTGAAATAAATATTTGCGGTTTTTCTACAGCATTCATTAGAAATGCTGAAAGTCATAAAAAGCAGAGTTGCTCAGCACTTTGTATACAATAAAGTGTAACTTTTAGTATTCAGCCTAGCTTTGTTGCGCGGCTCAAACAAGACATTAAAAATTAGAATAAAGTCTTAATATTTCAGATACAAAACTAAATTTTGGGATGATGTTTAACGGTCAATAAAATCAGTTACAAATATGTCTCTTTATCTGACTTTCGGCGCCTTTCATTGTATAAGTAAATATCGCAAATTCGTTAATTATTACCACAGACAGTAAACTCATGGAAAGAATAATATCTGCTAGACTTTGCAATTCTGCATCTGCTTATATTAAAAAAATAATTTTTGTTCTTCAATTTTTGTAAAATACCGCTAAAAATCTCATTGATTGAAGATGTTTTTCAATGTTTTGAATATTGGAAGGCAGGAACAAATAAATCTATAGAAACAAACATATCTCCCTAGGCTACCGAACTTACAGCAATTCTATAGAGATCTTATAGAAATCTTATAAGACTCTTATATAAGGCAGTCGATAGAAATGCGTAATATATTCATAAGATTCTCATACGAAGGAATATAAGAATCTTATAAGATTCTGATAAGATTTCGGTAATTATTTAATTAGTTTAGAAGAATTCATAAGATAAGTTAACATACGACTTTTATTTACATCAATTAAAGTGTTAGCCTATATGCAAACTGAAGGAAGTGTATGGGATCCTACGAAATACGGGAAAGCTTACACTAGGAAACCTATCAAATCATACAAATTCATATACTGGATTACCTAGGCTTTCGGCCTAGCAGGGAAGTTTTCGAACTTCTACAGGGATTAGCGACCCTGAGCTACTGCAGCTACTCGTCTTGACCTCGGGCTAGCAACCCGTTTCAGGACTCTAAACTCACCTTGCTACAAAACAAACACAGAACAAGGACGCGAACGCATAAAAACCAGTGAACTTCGGCTCCTGAAACGTTCCCTCATGTTTTCACTACGCGAAACAACAACTCATCGTCCAACAGCTCTCTAAGTACAACATCCAAGTGGCAGCACTATCTGAAACAGGAATCTGCGACAACGGCGTAAAGAACATCGGTGCGGACTGGACCATCATATACTCTGGACTTCCAGGAACGACGAAAACTCGAGCAGCTCACGGAGTTGCATTCTGCCTCGACAGAACAGCGACAAAAACCTGGAAAAATTCTGGGTCATAGAGGGAACCCATCTTTGAGCGAATCCTTAGAATCCGATTTACTTTTTCAGTGTTTTACCCTACACCGAAAGGTAACGGGTCTATCTATCTTTTGTCAGAATTATATTGAGAGATCTAGGTTGTATTTTGTTAATAACAACTCATTAAAATATTTTTCGACGATACATTCACTGTCGCGATCAATTATGAAACTCATTTCCCATAGATTCTTGCAGATATTCTATAAGATTCCTATAGGAATTCTATATAAGATTTGATCTCTAGAGCTTCCGATACACCGAGAAATTTTGCATACTTTATTACTAGAACCAAATTTTGATACTTATCTAAGTGAACAAAAACTTTCTAATTCTTCGGTTGAGCAACCTTGTTTTTTATGACTTTCAGCATTTGTAGTGCTGTAGAAAAACCGCAAATATTTATTTCAAAAAGAATATATGACTAAAATCTAGGCAAATTTCTCTATCGCTCAGAATCCAAACGAAATGTTTTGATTAGGCGTAACCTGAGAAAAAAGCTTTGCAAAGGCCGATAATTTAATCTACACCACCCGTTAATAGTAATATCTTCCTACTCATAACAACACTTCTTAAAGATCTGTAATTGTACTATTCTAAATTTTTCTCGGAATCTAGAGATATTTTCTTTTTACATGAAGTTTTTTCTCCTAATAACTAAGTCAGAGCTGAAAAATCTGACAGGAATTAGATCTGAAATTTCGAGAATTGTTAGTTTTTCAGAAAATTCAAATTTTCGCGGTTCTTGGGCCAATCTCGCGTTTGTCGTGTTGCATTGCGTTAAAAACGTATTTCTCACTCGTTAATTGTTATAGAAATGCCTAATTTCGCGATTTCAGTCTACAAAACGATTTTTGCCTGTCTAAGAAACTATCTTAAAAATTTTGAAAAAATGAAACGCGTTTTTCAAATCTCATTTCTAGCCAAAACACGTTAAATTCGTTTCAATTGAGTCAGAAACGCGAAAACTTCGGTGTCTTTCAAGAGTCTTGACGTCTATTGCGACTAAAAACGGGATTTTAAGAAGTTATGATGATCATAAACGCGTTTCTCGCGAATTATTGATGGCAAAAACGCGGTTTTGATTAACAGAAATTCGCCGTATTCATGATGAAACTGTACATTCTCACGCTCTATGAATGCTAAAACCGCGTTAAAACGAATTTTCAGAACATATAGGTCGCTGACTGGATAGTGACTTTTAGTTTTTATTTCACAACATTTGTATGGATAGCCCAAAATTGAGAGGAGAGGATACCCCTAAAGGGCTATAAAACAGCTATCCTTGTTTTAAGAAATATGAAGGACTACAACTGAAAAAAATTGTTTCTCGGATTGTAAAGTGAAGGAGATTGAAACTTTGCATTATTTAATCTAACGGGTACTTCGAAATAAATAGGCCTCTCAGTATTTTGACTATAACTTTTTTTCCTTCAAGAATACAGAGTTCTTTGCCCTTTTTAAATATTCGCCGTTGTATTCTCTATAAAAAATATATTGAACAATTTTTTACATACACTAAAAATAAAGGAGTATATCTAGTAATGTATCGTGTCAGCTGGCTATATCGCTCAATAGTAAATAACCTGATTTGAATTGCTAGCTGACTATATCGGATAGTATATTGAGTTAGCTAGCTATATCGGCCGATAGTTGATATATTTTTGTCTGCTTGGGTAGGCGGATAGTAAAAGAAAGTTTATATAGTCTGGATAGTTATCGGAAAACTTACAATGATATAAAACATGGATTGTCAGTATTTGGATAAATATGATAAGTTATGACGTGAACATTTATACACTGTAAAATCGCGAATTATTTATAGAAAATGCTTCGCGATTTTCAAAAAGTCGATATACGAAATACTTATGGATTTTTCGGATTATAGAAAATCGGATTTCCTATAATGTGGAAAATTGTAGATCTCTAAGTGTCATACAAAAATAGTACTTCTCGAAGAATATGCTGGTTTACAAAAGCTGAGAGAACTTTCTGAATCTATTAACATTTCTGATGTTAAATACTAAAAGGAGCACAGGCCTGCTATAAGATAACTTGTTGCAGTGAAGGCTTTGATAGATGTGAAAGAAGCAAGAAAAAAGTGAACGATTGGACTTCTTAGAAAATCGAATTTGATTTTCCAACTATTTAGAAAATCGCTGTCAATTTTCTACAATGTTAGAAATTATTATAGAAAGTCGATCGATTGTCGAAAAATTAGAAAATCGCTGTCGATTTTTCAACTTTTTGGAAATTCTTCATCGATTTTCTGGCAAATGAGAAAAGTTAATTCATAGATAATCGAGCGAATTTTCTATAAGGTAGAAAATCAACATTTTCTAAACAGTCAGAAAATCGCTGAGGATTTTATAAAAGGTGGAAAATCCATTGCGATTTTCCAGATCGATTTTCTATAAAATAGAAAATAATCTCAAATTTTAGTATATAACAACATTTCGAAGTTATACAAACGTGAAAAGTACTGACTGAGAAAAGTAAGAGGAAAACAAAGGATAAAAGTCACATATATACAGTGAAAATGTTCACTAGTGTCATATTTATCTGCTGATGATCTTAGTAGAGGTTTAAAATTGCATTTATCTATGTTATGTTTATTTGTTAAATAAATCAAACAAATATGATATTTTGTACCGTTTCGTTACTTTTACTTAAGACTTTTTAAAACTACAATTCCAATCGGATTTATTTCTACGACTCGAATTGATGATTTTCGTCAATTTTTGGTAAGTTCAAGTTGATATGACATACATTCTAGTTAAATATAATTTTTTTTTGGCTTAAATCGCCCTACCCTATATCTTCTCTCTTCCAAAGATCTTTTGGGTATCCTCTTCCTCTTCTTCACTACCCAATTCTTTGTCAATGCCACAAACTGAATCGTTATCTGATTCATCATCGCAACATTTGTAAAAGTTTCAGTAACATATGGATTAACACTTTTAGTGCTAGACTAAATTTGCAATTTAATTTTATGAAACGATTCTATAGTTCGCAAACGAAGAGAGGTAACAGATAAAGATATTAATTCGGTAGATGATAACTAACTAATATGTTCAGTATATATATATATATACTTATGTAAAATAATACAAAAGAAGAAAACTAATGAAAAATTAAGAAACAGTTTGTCCCATTATAGACTATAGAAGAACATGAAAAAAAAATTCAGTTTGATAATAACAAAAATGAATGACACAAAAAGGACCTACCTTGAATAAATATGTACAATATGACTAACGAGGGAAGATCCCCAAGTGTGAATCACCGTTTTGAATGGGAGATATCCCAGTTTGTAGAACTCGACGAGCTGATTCTAGTGGCATAAAGCATTTTTCCCAATATTTCTTGAAGACCCAGTTTTCTAGCAAACCAGTTTTTCAGAAACTTTAAAAAATAACCAAAACATTTTTAAATAAAATATAATTGTAGCGCGCACATTTCTGATTATAATGAGATATTCCCCAGCTCTACATGCCGTTTATTTGCAAAGTTAAAGAATTTACAAGAAAAGCCCTAAATGCTCATTGTCGGCTCAAAGCTACAGAAATAAGAAGAAATTAATTCAGGGCTTTTCTTGTAAATTATATAACTTTGCAAATAAACGTCATGTAGAGCTGGAGAATGTCTCATTTTAATCAGAAATGTGCGCGCTAAAAATTATATCTTATTTAAAAATGTTTTGGTTATTTTTTAAAGTTTCTGAAAAACTGGTTTTCTAGAAAACTGGGTCTTCAAGAAATATTGGGAAAAATGCTTTATGCCACTAGAATCAGTTCGTCGAGTTCTACAAACTGGGATATCTCCCACTCGAAACGGTGATTCACACTTGGGGACCTTCCCTCGTAAGCAAAGGAAAAACGAAAAAATAATTCTGTATACAACATGATTTGAATCGTGATTAGTGTAGAGGAAAAATGCCTATACAGTTATGCATAACTAATAGAGATCAAGTCATAACACATGCTTAGAAACCTACTTTAGTACATTTATGGACGTCGTTCTCTATTTAAATTTTGAAAACGTAAATTTGCGGACTTTGCAATCAAAGAGTTACATAACTAAATAGTAATTCAGAATATTCTCTTTTTCTATTTTCTCCGTTTCTTCTTTTTGATTTTCGCTATTTTTCACTTTCGCAAAAGTCCAAATATTTCAACAATTCCAGTGTACAATACAAAATTGTTTTCACAATGTTAATGCATATCCTAATGTTGCTGATATTTGATGACGTATTCGTTGTAAAGCATTGCTTCTTCTTCTTCTTTTTTTCATTTTTTTGATTTTCGCTAATACTAAGTGTGCACGAGCACGACTGTTTTCATCTGGTTCTCTTGTATTAGTCGGCGATTGTTGTAGAGTGTCAAGTGTATCATCCTGATTTTGTGGATCAACAGGTATTATCTTACTTATAGCCCATATACCACTTCTCGTATGTCCCATATATTTCCAATCTAACATAAATTTGTATGGTATTAGTACATAACCGTTATTACCCTAAATATATATATAAAAAATGGGAAATGAATAATACTGAAAAAATAATAGTTTTTGACACTTAAAATAGAAGCACACACCTTAGAAAAATTTCATCGGGCATAGGAATGCTCGAGTACGCTTCCCATCCCAAGCGTATTTGAACGCACTTCAACGTCCGAGAGAGCGGTAATCCAGAAGCACAGTACGCATGTCGGCAAACATTTAGGAAAAAATGGAGAGTCAAATATGCTTTGTTCAACGCGCTATCTAATATTGCAAAAAGTTTTGTTCCACATGGTCTCTTAGAAAAGTTTAAAAAGGAAAAATGATGTATATTTCAACGTCGTCTTAGAAAACTGAATTTTCGCGTTCCAATAATCAAGTTCGTCATTTCAACATATTCTTGAGCATCAGCTATCTGCTGGTACGAAAACTTTTTATTTTGAGCGAAAGCAAGTTGGTATGAACTAGCAATTTTTCGAGTAAATGGCATTTTCGAACCAGTACTTCGATTAAGGTTCATTTTCTAAACTTCAAAAGAATTCAAAGTTACACCAAAATGTTCGTCAAGATGTGCTATATCTATGGTGTATGAACAAAAATGCACAACCTTTCTCACACGAAATTGTGGATTTTGCAGAAACCCCCGGTTTTCGAGGTAAAATCTATTTGACTCCACTCATGAACACTTTTATTCAAAAATAATAAGATATTTGGATCGATATCAAATGATGTATAATTGGTTAGTTTTACAAATAAAACATTTTTTGACGAAAATTCAGGATAATGGTCCCGCTAAGAGCACGAGAAAAACAAAGGATTACCATAAGACCATGCTCAATTGACGTCTTAGATTTGCGTATAACTAGTTCTATCTTGTTCAGCATCTGTGGAAACCTATAAATCCAAATTTTGAGCCTTTCAAGTCTTCTATTTGACGGTTTTCTAGAGTACGCTCGATGGAAAATTCAGCGTCTAAAAAATGGAGAGCAAAAATAAAGATTGTGTTTCTCTCACGTGATGGAACAGGAATTTTTTCATCTTATGTAGTCCATTGCACGGTCTGTTCGGTAATGCGGTCAGATCGTTTTTACCTTGTAAGTCTTGTAAGGACCGCTGGAAAGCCTTTGGATGTTTCTAGAAACCCCTTAAGTTTTCCAAAAACGTTTTTCAATTATATAATTGGAAAGAGCACAAAATCCTGAACAAAATGAAGTATTACTCATAATTTTAGCAGTTACTTCCAAAAAGTGAAGAAATAAAGGATATTCAAGCAAAAATGGTTTATTATAAAAAGCTAAGTTTTAGGTTGTCGAATTTATGACTTAGAAACTATGAGTGATACCTCATTTTGTTCAGAATTTTGTGCACTTTCCAATCATATAATTGAAAAACTTATTTGGAAAACTTAAGGAGTTTCTAGAAACACCGAAAGGCTTTCCAGCGATCGTTACAAGACCTCAAACTTTTGAGACCAGATCTGGATAGTCCACACTTGAATGTCTTTGGAAAAGTGCATATCGCTTTATACTTAAGTCAGACGCTCGAGAAGCAATATAAAATCTAGGTATGCAAGAGTAGCGATAGTTTACCGTAACCGGTACTACCGTTACCGTTACTATCGGTAGTATCGCTACCGTTCTACCGTTAGTACCGCTACCGTTCTACCGGTACTACCGCTACTGTTCTACTGCCGTTATCGATCCACAGGTTTTATCGTTCATTGCGGACAGATAGTATCGATTCTAGAGAGAGTGAAATTCTGTAGAGCATATGACGATGTCGTTATTGTAACAGATTTTGATGCTTTATTCTACGTTTTATTTTTCTTTGTATTTTATTGGCTTTAGCAGTCTCAAATAAGAAGAAGAAATAATGGTTTTTATCGTTTTGTTTAATTTTGTTTTTACATAAACAGTGGATGAAACCTGAGCAACCCGCAAAATCTGGTTTCGGCTTACTAAGGTTCACGAATTTTGATTCTTTCGTGTGTCTATGAGTTATTGAAGACTGAGTTACGTTACATTTGTAACTGTGTGTTTTTTTACAATAGGTTTTATCCGGAAAAGGTTACCTACGGTGACCGGTAAAACGGTACGGATAGTACCGGTAGAATGGTAGCGGTAGTATCGGTAGAACGGTAGCGGTAGTACTGTTACCGGCTTTACCGCTATCGTTGCATGCCTAGTATACTAGTTTTACTATATACAGTTTATATATATCGAACTTAATTTTCTTTCTAATTGTTTTTACATCTTCAGAAACAATTAACTGCCATGAATAAAATCAGAAAGTAACAAATTTTATATTTTCAACAAACGTTCATCTTTTATATATTCAAGGAGAAGAGTGCTCACTGTAAACTTATTTCGTATTGCACCAACTTCGTGAACTAACACTAGAGTAATTAGAGTAAACCCATTTCCGTCTTTTATACTAGTTTAAAGTACACGAGTTGTACACGATGCTGATCTATTTTCAAGGGGGGAAAAGCATACTTCTGTACTTCTCGATACTTCTTGATACTTCTCCGTACTTCTGAAGTACGAAGTACGAAATACGCTTTTCCCCTTTCGTACTTCAGAAGTACGGAGAAGTACAGAAGTATGCTTTTTCCCCTTGTCTATTTTTCAGAAAAGGGGCTCTATTAGTCTTTGAGAAATATGGTTGTGAATATCGTTAATTATTATTTAAGAAAGCAAGTTTTCGAGACAAGTCGGGCATGGAAAAACAGAAGTTGATCATCTGCTTCAACCGGATCCCGAGAACTTCCAAAAGCATCTTGTTGACTTCTGACAACGAGAATACTCGTCCTATAAAGGAGCTGCGGCAAAAACGTTTGAGGATATTTTGGAATGGATACGTGATTTGAGCAGATTGCAGAAGATCGACGAGACAAACTCGTAAAGAGATATTTGCTGTGTACAACTATTTCTACACATTGTGCAACCATCTGAGAAGACAGGAGACATAGCATGAAGCGTTCGAACGTGAGAAAACTCGTTTGCATTCGACCTACACGAATGTACCTGCTCTCTGATAAATAAAGATATCGGATTACAACGGTTATGGTTGAACATCTGTACCCGTCAGCCAAAACAGTCGAAAACAATGAGAAAATGTTTGACTCAGATATTCCCGAATAATTTCGAGAAGATTCACCGAATACATATGTCATATCTGTTATGTTTTAGAGAATAAGTTAAGGTAAAGCCATTCAAGAAAATGTTCGATATTTGCACGAGAAAATGCAAGCTTTGGAATTGCGTGGGTTTGAGTTCAATAATATGAAAGTGGACATTTCAGATTACAGAAGAACGAGAGTTTATCTTACAGAAGCCGAAGGAGGAAGGAAAGTCTTAAAAGTGAATCATCGTTCAAAGCTTACCCTTACCTAGAAATCAATAGAAAATTTATTTCAAAATACAGTAGTACTGCACAGCAATGGTCATATTAAAGTAGATTTGTAATTTCTGAGTGAAGTGGACCTTGTTAGTAAGTGATAGATCTGACAAAGGACGATTTTCGGTCAAAAATATGCAGTAAATAATGGTACTTGTTCAGATATTCCTACATATCACTGGTAACACGTTAATACGTTTGATTCATTACTGTTTTTGTCATTTCAAACAAATATTCAGAGCATCATTTCAGCCTGTGAATTGCTCTAATTACGTAGTTAAACTTCTAAATTACGAAGGTTGTGATTCAATAGAGCTTATTGATGTTAAACAATAGCTCGATCGTCAAGGAAATCAGAATGGAAGCTTTTAGCGCTATTCTTATTAGTTCACTAGAATTATGAAAGAACTGCTCATACTCACCACTGAAGCGTTGTCTTAGCTGTAAGTAGATCAAGTGTTTCTTCATGTCGTTGTCAAACTCCACGCGTTGAACAGTAAAGCAAACGCCGGGAGTTATAAGTTCTTCTTCTTCGTCAGGGTATTCAGAGAATGGACTGAGATCCACAGTAAAAGCGAAGAGCACTTGCATAATGAATAAGGCGTTACCACTAAATGCCTCGGCTACAGCGCGATTTCGACTGCATGAAGTAAACGCTTGAAATGAACGATATTCATCGAAATGCCCAGAATAGTCTTTATAAGTGATGATCTGATCATCGGTCAGCTGGGCTCCTCGGTAAAGTAGTTTTCCCGTGTTTAATTTATTATTGAAGGGATCGTCCCACAGGAGCAGGCAAAATGGTCCCAATGTACGAATTTTACTTCGCCAAACCTGTTCATGCTCGTCGCTTCCTATAAATCTCATAGCCTCGTTCAATTTTTGGTATAAGAAACTGTTCATCGAGTAGAGGTAAGCACAGCATCTCCAAACTTCTTTTATTCCGCTGTTTTGCTGCTCCATCAACTTTTTAGCCATGTATTCTGCTTCATGCTGTTTTCTTGCTATCTTGCCTTCTTCAATAATACCGATAACAGCTTTTTCAACAATCATCGACACGATTGTTTCGTCTCGTGAAGGCAATTGTCCCTTGTCAAACTTCAAGTCTTTTCTCACTTCCATTATAAAGGGCGAAACCCAGCCATACTCGCCACCGAAGGGACGTTTCGGAGCAATGGGATCGAGCATGAAGCGTTCTCTCCGTAGACGTTTATCATCCTTCTTGCGCACTAGTCGTTTGACAGGCCTTTGCTTGTTGTCATCGTTGTTGCAGATTTGAATGCTATGTTTAAAATCAATGTAACAGCCGTCCAGCATGGCATGAGTTTGCTTGGTTTCGAAGGCTTCTTCGATAATGAGATTTTCCACGTCCGAGTAAAGACTCCATTCGGGTGGCTGAGACTTCGACCACGGATCTGAGTTCGTCTGGCACATCCATTCAATGTGCGTCATAGGGTCAATAAGTGCAGACATTAGTTGACTCATGACTATCGTTTTGTCTGTATTGTCTCAGGCGATGCAAGTTTTATAGTACTTGGTTGGTATCTCTCTCGTTCTGAAAACGATAAACAATAGATGGTTGTTATGTAATGCGCAAGATGTCTTTTTCTACGTTAGTTCACAAAAATACGCCATCCTGCTGTATACAGCAACGTTGCGAAACGATTCATAAATTGGGCAGTATACTGCCCAATCTAGGATAAAGACCACAACTGGCTCAAAAAGCAAAGGGCAATTTGTAAAAGCCGAAAAGGTTTTATGAATTTTTGAAAAATCATGAAGTTTTCGAGGTATTTTGAGATTTTCTCCACTAAAACAGTACTTTTTCTCAAAAACAATACCATATTCGGAATCAGCATAAAAAATTGCATCGAATGGTGTATAACTTATCTAGTTTCGGTCACTCGATTTTGAATTCTAGAAATTTCTTAGTTTTTG